TTTTTTGGTGGGCTCTTCCGCAGGTGTGCTGCCATGTGCTTCTGGTGCAGGCAGTGCTTGCTGCTGGCTGTAGTAGTATTCCGCATTCCTACCACGGAAGCTGGAACGGCGGCAATTGCTGCAGCCATTGTATATGCAACGGCAATTTGCACAGCCCAAGACTTGCCCAGGCAAAACTCGATACATCCATGACCTGCCCATCTTAATCCGATCTTGGGCTGGGTGTTCAGAGTTATCCGGCTTGCTTGCCCCATCAACCTTGTTGGATGCGGCGGTTGATGATGTCTTGCGCTTTCTACGTGGTTCTGCGGACTTGGCTTTGGATCTGGTATTGGCAGCCTTTCCCTTGGCTCGCTTCCGGGCTGCCGGGTCAGGAACAAAAGTGGGCTCGTCAGTCGATGCACTGGCTTGCTCTACCAAACCCTCGCGGCTCTTACTTTTCTTCAAGATATTGCGCTTTGAGCGCCTCTTGGTGACACGGCCACCTGCACCTGGTGAAGTGTTCTTTTTGCCGGACTTTCCTTTCCCAGGTTTTCGTCCCTTTTTCATGTTACTCTTTTTCGTGGTGCGCATTGCAGACTGCATCATGGGGGTGATTTCCGGTTCTGATTCCTTGGCCTCACCCTTGGCCTCAGCATCGACCCCTGAGCCTTTGCCAGAAGCCGGCTCTACAGTGTTGTTCTGGATCTCGTTGCCCTTGACCTCACCCTCGGCCGGCAAGTTGGCAACCTGCTCAGGTTCCACCTGACGGCGGGGCAAGAATCGATAACCTGACCAATCTTGGTTGACAAATCGCAGAATTCTTAAGACACGATCCCAGCAAACAAATTTTGGCCTTCGGCGGTGTCTCACAAGGTGGTGGATGATGGGCCGCAGGGGGGAGTAACGATCTGACCGAAGTCCATTGGCTGGGTCTCAGCCTACAAATGGATCTGTGCATAGGAACTTTCCAGACAAATAGCGAATAATAAGACGATAGAAAACTATAAACAGGATATACGGGCATGGCCCAGCCTCGGAAATGTCGCGCAAAGCAGGACATGGAACAGGTCGACCCTGGCCACCTCAAACCAGCAAAGTAGCTGTCAGAACTGAATGAGAGTGAAAAAATCGGCCCAACATGGCTGCGATATACCTTTTCAACAACGGTTTGCGCGCCTTTGGCCAAATCATTCTCCACAGACCTTGGGGATGAGTACTGCGGCAGCAATATTTCGATACTATGTCAAGAGCATGTTTACAAGAGTACCTGGGCGCAGAACTCACGAGAACGACTGGCCAGCCGCATCATGTGAAGTTGATGCAAGACACTGTCCAGTTCCTTCTGCTGCTCCGCAGTCATTGGAACGCTGCATGCCTCGCCCAACACATCAAGTTGCAGTTGACTTTCACCGGGAGAGCCCACCATGGTTGGCTCGTCAGAAGCCTTTGGTGTCACTTCTGAAGCCAAACTTGAAGCTGACCGCTTCTCTCTGTACTGTGGCACATTCCCTGACTTGAGAGTCGGGTCAGGTGATGGAGCAGGTGAAGCAGCCTCAAAGCAATCAGACTCCAACCTGCTAGGAGTCTTGGAAGGATCAAATGCATGCTGAACATCTTCAATGGCCCACTTGGCCCATTGAGTTCGTAGATCCCGGATCTTCTCGAACAACGCCTTGACCTTTTTGTCCTGCAACAACTGATGGAAACACACATGCATGTACCAGGTGGGGAGGGAACATGTAAAGAAAAGCGAACATGCTGGCAACAAAAAAACAGCTATATCTTTGACCGCTGCAGTCCCGGGGTCGCTGGTTTCTCTTGGCAGCGTCGTTTTGTCGACGAAATGCAAAGGTATAGAGCTGGCGCAGGTCCCAGGCTGCTATGTAGACTTCGCGTGCTCCAGGCTCATAGTTAACGTCTTCAAACAGTTTCTTCACCTGCATGCATTCTGTGGATGAAATACATGCATGGGTGATGGGTCATATACACATGGACAGCTATAGTAAGCACACCTCAACTCTTTCCTTACTCCCTCAACTCTAGTGGACACTGAAACAAAGACTTCGGCCTCAGGTTTGAGGTCATCAATGCTGATGAACTGGCCATCTAGCTCGTCAACCATCACAGTCAGAACATCAACATTCAACTCCAAAGCTTGTGTGCAAACCGGGTGAGCTGGTTCGATCTCCTCCTCCTGGGTTTCTGCTGGCGCAGATGTAGATGGCCACTGCAAAAAGAACTTTTGCTTCATAGGCCTGTGGCGAATGACCCTGTTGTTTTCCCATGCTGCTGCTAGCTGGCCGGCTGCTGCCATTGCCAATCCAACCCTCAGACTAGTTCGAGTTCAGCGCACACCGCAGAGCCTTTAATAGTTGCATGGTGATGCACAGGTGTTCGCTGCTTCATATGTATATGGCAAAGAAACATGTTAATCCAACATGCCCAAACATGAGCATGGATCAAACATTGCCCGTGGCAGGATTGGCGATTCATTGAGAAGAACATGCCAGCCGTACTGGGCATTGAGAGTGAGGAAATACTTGCTTCCTCCATCCTGCATGCTCAAGAGGTCGATTGAACAAAAAATGACGGAACTGTTCTATACTTACCTTCACAGAGACAACCCCTCTTGTCGAAAACGCTACTGTCCCAGTCCTCATCGATCTCTCAGCCGCAGGGTCCGTCGTGCTTCCATGGGCATACAGGATATGGATACAAAGTTGTCATACAAAGTGCAAGCAACTTTCCTACATGGTCTACAGGTTCGTCGTTGGCACCTGTCAACGTGACTTGTTTTGCTTCAGTTTATCTATTGTAGGATGCCACATGCCCTTTGAGCCTTGCTCATGCTGAAGAAAACAGACCTTCAGAGGTGCCTGGGCACGCGGGGAACCTGAAGGCAGCGATGGGAAGTGTCAATATTAGAAAGTGTACGATTTTTGTTGGGTATCTGAGAAAGTGAGCCAGAAACATGCAACTATTCAAAGTTTACCTTTTAAACAGGCAACTTTCGCGATCCAGGTAGG